TGCAAATGCTAATTGTTATACTAATCATTATATTGCAATGCTTGTTTAAAACACAAATTCACTTTAGATCCAGGTGACCTGAGTATAATGAACAAAATGAACATATTAATACCTGCATCAAGAGCTCTTTGTTTATACTTCATGAAAAAGGTATTCCATTTGAAAATGCATTGCTTATCCATCAAAATATTTACAATGGTACTGTTCATCCTTCAACTGGTTATTCTCCTAATATTCTGCATTTTGTAAGAAAATTATCATTACCTTTTAATATGTTTAATCTTGATCCAAGGCCATTCAGGTGGAAAAATCACATTATTTGTGTGATTTTTTAACACAACTAAAACTAAGTTATGAGCATGCCTATGAGATGTTGGAATAAAGCAAATAGAACTGAATACTTGAAAAATGCCATATTAAGATCATTCAATGTTAATGATATAGTGTATGTGAAATCTAAGGTTACATTCCAGCATAGGTTTTCGAAAACTTTTTCTTCTAAAGTAAATGATGTAAATTATGTTATTTGTGCACTTGACAATGATTTTTTCTCAGCCATTTATAGAATTCACATCAGTTGCCTTCGTTTGGCTCCTAAAAGATTCTCCCACACACTTCAGTACACTTAATTTTTTTTTTTTTTTTCACTCATTTCTTGTACTATCATAGAACATTATTACAAGTTATGCAATATGTTAAATTGTTCGAAATTTATTGTTATGTGTCTTTTGTTGATTTCTTGATTGTGTGAGCATAATCATTAGAGTTTAAGGCTTGATCACCCTTAAATATCATTTCGAGATTCAACGACATTGTGCCTAATATATAAGTGCATAAGTGTTTGATTTCAAAATTTCCTGGTATGATGTGATTATAATGGTTTGTATTGTTTCTTCATCCTGTATGTGATTTATCTAATTAAGTGTAACTGGGGATGTACAAAAATTGCATTTTGCTTTATCATAGAAATACTTCATTTACAATTCTGTACTGTGTACTTGCAATATGGTATATTCGAAAATTTTATGTACCATATTTATATCATGCACTTATATGTATTTTGCATAAAAAGTTGCTTGTATTGAATTATGGAATATTTAAATAAGTGGTTCTATGTTTTAATGTTAAAAATTTTGTTTTTGTGTAGATGGCATGGTTTTGGTGATACCTAAATGAAAAAATCTTCCCATTTAAAATGTAATCTATGTAATATGTATTTCAGACTGTTAGCTCCATAGTGATTGTCATGATTTTATATGAGGCTGGCACCATGATACCGGAATTTTTATTATGCACATAATTAATTTTTCCTCCTTCCCTCAAAAAGGGGTGAATATCTGATGAGGTCACATTAAATTTATGTCCTTGGAATTATTACAGCCATCTAGAACCAGATAAGGGATTTCATCTGGCGACAATATTTTTGCCAACAGGTTTGTTATAACATGACCAAGCTATGTCATCAGACAACTCATTTCAGTTCAGTTTGTCTGCAAAGTGAAAGAAATATTACGATTGGTTGTTCTCACTGTGGAATATTTTCATTTTCCTTATACTTTTCTTTCTGGAGTATGTTTGACTTTTTGTCTCCACTTACCATATGAGAAATGTCGTATGTTGTTAACGAAGGCTGTGAAACTACACTCAGTGCACAGAAATACAAATTTTTAGGTGCCAGGAGGGATTCTACTGTGGCGGACTTCATGCAATCAATATGGAGTAAAGTCTGACGAGAATCGATAAATAAATGATCTTTGAAAATGTATTCAGGACTCTTCTTTTCCTTTTATTGGACAGCTCACCATGACATGGCAAATACCATGATCCTACCTTGGGTAAGCCACTGTACTACTGAAGTAGTCTCTTAACGCTACACACACTTCCTATAGCTCACCCTTGTGTGTAACAATATAAAACAATACTGCTAAGATTGTTTCGGGATTATTTATATAATTACTGTTACATTTTTATTAAATTTTTGTTATTTAATTGAACTTGTTTCTTTCATTGCGAGTCTTTAATCGTTGAAAAAGAGATATTAAATTGAGAATAAAAAAGTAAATAATTACTGCAAGAGAAAACAGACTTTAGTTTTATATAGTTAATGATGTTTTTTAAATACCGCAGCAAGCATACATTAGGTATTCTGATATTAAACTAGTAGTTTTGCTAGACTCTATTAGTAAATGATCAGTTCAAAAAATGAAAATAAAAAATAGGGGCAGTAAAACATAACACATGCAAAACATTTTTTTCAAAAATGCTACATGTACCAATTTGAAACTTAACAGCGAGAAAATATCATATCATTATAACTGTGATAAAATTTTTCTGAACATAAGAAATTCATCTTTTAGGCTATTGAATGGGATAGAATGACTTTGAAAACTTATTAACTACACTTAATTTCAGGGAGGGGGAACACCATTGTAGGTAACGAGAGTAATATATAATTTAACCATGGCCAACAGTTCAATGTCTTCATACAGATCCTTTGGAGGAAAAGAGCACATGTACTTTTTTATGTTTCACGTGGAAAGACCAGGAAAATGCCCATGCAGCTAGCCTCTTGGCGGGATTCGAACCCAGGACCAAACTAGCAGTATTTGGTGACTTTTGCTGCTCAACTGCTGGTGGGAAAGAACAAGGTGCTTGCAAATTGAACACAAATTTAATGAATCACTCTAGCCTCCTATAGCTCACCATTGTGTAACAATATAAAACAATACTGCTAAGATTGTTTTGGGATTATATAATTACTGTTAAATTTTTTAAAATTTCTGTTATATAATTGAACTTGTTTCTTTCATTGCGAGTCTTTAATCGTTGAAAAAGAGATATTAAATTGAGAATAAAAAAGTAAATAATTACTGCAAGAGAAAACAGACTTTAGTTTTATATAGTTAATGATATTTTTTAAATACCGCAGCAAGCATACATTAGGTATTCTGATGTTAAATGGGTAGTTTTGCAACAAATGTAATTAGATTCTATTAGTAAATGATCAGTTCAAAAAATGAAAATAAAAAATAGGGGCAGTAAAACATAACACATGCAAAGCATGTTTTTCAAAAAAGCTACATGTACCAATCTGAAACTTAACAGCGAGAAAATATCATAACATTATAACGGTGATAAAATTTTTCTGAACATAAGAAATTCGTCTTTTAGGCTATTGAATGGGATAGAATTTTCCTCCTTTGGAAAGAAAAGAGGACATGTACTTTTAAAATCAAAAAGATCTGCATTATATTTTTAGTTAAAATACTGCATTTATTGGTTAGAAGTTAGTTCAAGCAGGCCAAAATTAAAGATAGATTGAATTAGTCAATATTTTTTACTCTTTATATTTAATTATGAATAATATAGTTCAGCATAACCAAGCGTTCAGAATACTTAACTGAATTCAAATCCGAATTCTATTTTAAAATCTTTTGAAATCAATTTGAAACATACTTCTCAAATAACAAAGATATGGAAATTTTTAACAGAAAACGATAAAAAATATCAAAATCAAAACTGACATCTGATTCATAAAAAAAGAATAACTTATTATGATAGTACAGAAAATTTACTGACTGAAGCAAAAAATTCTATAAGCTTCATTAAAATTTCGCCACAGTTTATATCAAGCTGTGTATCTAAGCATTTTACAAAATGAGAGACGCGAAGAAACTATTCTAATTAAATTTAACATATATACAGCAAGTATTATTACTAGTAATATGATTATTTTTCTAAGGGGGAGGGACTGAAATATAATCATTAAATTAATCATTCATAAAAAGTACTACAAGCCTTACAGCATGAAAGCTGTAAATTAATTTTATAATTTGAGGAATAAAATACAATCATTAGTGAGCAGAATATTATAACGTTGATAATAACGCAATCCATGACATTAAAAACATAAACATTTTTTCATTCGGTACTAAGCTTCGCCGCCTGGCTACTCAATAAATGTTTACATTTGGAACTACTAAGATGGAACAACAGCGCCATCTAGTGAACGCGACATTTTAGGACCGTTTTTCTACTAGGCAGTTTCACCTCCTTCATTATACTCTGTGGTAACAGCATATGTAAAGGTACAAAACACCATACATAGGCTACATCATCAGAAAATTTTGACTAAGTAAACTGCAGGCAACATACCTGAACTCTACAATAACATGTTTATAATGTAATGTTTTGCAGATACTCTAATAAAATATGCATAGCTGCCAACCTTGAAATATCAAAACCAGGAGGTTCTCATGCAAAAAACCAAAAGATTTTCATGGGAATTACCTGGAAGTTTACACAACGTGAAGGGACACCATTTAAGAAGGATTCCACATTCACTTAAATTTACTTTTATAAATACGTGATTTAGTTTAGTGAAGTATTTATAGTATGGCTCAGATGTAAAATATATTAATATTTAATTATTTCATAAGAATAAATAGTAAAATTAAATTTAAATAATTCTCTTCTGCCATTGCTGCAAGGAATGAAATTTGAATTTAACAAATATTCGCTCATTCATATAAAGCTAATTCAAATTTAAATTTTAAATTATGAAAATTTAATTGTATATAAATAAAAGATTAATTATTGCTGTAAAACTAATTTACAGTATCATTTAAATTCAGAGAGCATATGTAAATTAAGTGCAAGTATAAAAAATTTTTAGGATTATTAAATATTTTTTTCATGGTTTTAGATACTTGCACTTAATTTACATATGCTCTCTAAATTTAAATGATACTGTAAATTAATTTGCAGCAATAATTAATCTTTTATTTATATACAATTAAATTTTCATAATTTAAAATTGAAATTTAAATTAGCTTCATACAAATGAGATAATATTTGTTAAATTAATATCTAATTACATATTCTAAATTTTATGTTCTTTTTATTCAAGCTGAAGCTGTTTAATCACTGTATTTAAAATTAAAAACTAAGTATAAGAAAAATGAAATGTCATTTGAATTTTTTTTTTTTTTTTTTTTTAAAAAAAGTGATTTTCTCCTTCAGTTAAGTTAATTTTATTTTGTAATTTTTTACACTTTTATACTCGGAAAATTCTAAGTAGGAAAAGAAAGCTTTTAAATACAATGAAAATAAAACTAGTAATTAAGCATAACATAAAAGGTTACTATACTCTTTGGTATTCAGTTATCAACACTTAAAAAAATATTAGACATTGCTGCATGAGGTATTTCTCAAACTGCCGTGTATTGATATTCATGCCATGAAAGCAATTAATAATAATAAATAACACAGAGGGTTGGCATCAAGTATAAAAATTATTCAGTAGATTACTGATGTTTTGATGTACAGTGTTTTAACTTGAGATGTGTGCCTACCAAAAAGATGAGAGCCAAATTATTATCATACAGATTTATGTTAATAAATGATTATTTCTTGAATATGGAGATATTTTATTTACTGCCGAACTGAAATTAAGAATCGGCGTTCTCAATATTTTATCTATGAAAAAACATCCAGTGCACATGCACAAAGCATACCAAAAAAAAGGGGGGTTGGTAGTGGTCTGGAGGTTCAGATTTTAGATCACTTGCGGTATAGTTAAGACAGCTCAGATCAAATAAAATTCAATAAGAAAAATTGTCCTAAAAATCACTAGGGATGGGGAATGGAATTTGTAAAATGTAAACTTCATTAATTCAATAAATTTCAAGTAAAGGCTAAAAATATATAAACTTTGTAATTTACCAAGGAAACTAGGACAGTTGGCAGCTATAGATTTGTATATATATATATATATATTGTAAATTCAAACTGTGCATCTTTTTTTCAATAGTAAACCAAGCAGAAAAATTGTCCTAAACAACTGTTTGCATGAAACTAAAGCATGTGTGGGTTAAGAGTATATTGAAAGGTGCCCCTTGTATTATCAAGAATTTGTTGTTTCATTTATTGCCAAGTTGTTTTATTTATAGTAACCTGGCTAGTTGAATGTTGAGGAAACCCTATTATGATGTAATCAGTTGCGTGATTGCGGTAAATTTTGAATTATGGGAAAAGATTTGCAAGGGCTTGTGGTGTGTGTTGGTTAGGAAGTACATTGCTTGTTTTGTAGTTTAGATGGTAAAATGGCTGAATGAAGTAAAAATTAATTTGAAGTTTCTCCACAATTTGGAACAAAAAGGGAAAAGAGCATTAATTGACTGATGTGTAAATGAAGGTTTACTTAGTAGCCATTGTAAGTGTCCTGTTTGTAAGAAGGAAATGTGTATGGTTGAACGTCGGAGGATATTGGCACTACGAATGATATTTTTCACTCTTATTTTGTGAATTTATGTGGCGATGCCAGTATACAGATTCTAGTTCAGATAATTTTAGGAAGTTTTTGGATGCTATTAAGGAATTTTGTTTGACTGAAGACATGGAAATTTCTAAATAAGGTAAACAGATATCTCCTTTGCATAGTGCTTAGATGCATAAGATGAATTTCCTTTCTTATGTTATTTTATTGTTTGATTTAAAATATGGTTTATTGAGATTACGTATTTTTTGTTTGGCTCTACTGCAGAATTGGGTGCTCCTTTGACTTTTTAAGTGAAACTAGGTAGATGCGTACATGGACAGAGTCAAGGGAGTGCACAATGCCAAGTTTATGCAATTATCTGATTTTTTTAAGTGAAAATATGTACATAGATACCGAGTTTGTGCAATTCTTTGATGTGTTATTTTGTCTTTGTGTAGCGGCAATTTTTGCTACACAAAGCCAAAATAACAAGTCAAAGAACTGCACAAACTCAGTATCCATGTACTGCCAAAAATCGCCAGTGGGCACCCATAAATATATTTTTACCCATGTATAATATGGGCCTTAATAGACCACTTATACAAAGTTTGAAAGTTGAAGTTTTTTCCCTAGCAAAGGCTTGAAAGTGATGTAATAAATATTTTGGTACTTTCTGATTACATGCACCTCCACCAAAAAGTCCCAAACTCATTCCCAACTTCGGAAAGAATTTTTTTTTTTTTTTTTGGTTATCTTTATGATGCATCTAGTGCTGTTTACTTTTTTACATTCTTTTTTCTCCATATCAATGTACAATTCCTGTTTTTTTCCCTATTGCTATGCTTCTTTGTTTACAGCAATCTGTGTTCACTTAAAAAACATTAGCGAACTGCATAAACTCAGCATTAGGCATAATTCTAGCATCAAAACAAAATCCTAAGATGAGAAGGTAAAAGGGCACTTTTTCATTATGCATCCGCAACACTTTTGCTGCCTGCGAAGAGAAGCCAATCACATGGCAAGACCTAATGATAGCACCATCTGGGGCTGTGTGTAAACAAGAATAATTAAACAAATGTGCACATACTATTACAATAGTACTACTAAAATGCATGGCACGTGCATAATGGAAAAGTACTGGCAAAAAAAAGAGGCACACGATGCCTTTAAACGAGCCACATTACACTTAACATGTGCAAAAAGCTAAATCTGAGATCTCGTAGAAGACAACAGATACAGAAATATGCAAGCTACACACCACTATGTTAAAATGCAGAAGGGATCATAATCTGAAGTAACACTAGCAAAAATGTCCAGAAGTGGATTCATCTGGATTGTCAAATCTTTTTGGCAAAATAGTGCATTGTCTCACTGATATATTTTTGTGGCTGTTTGGTGGGGATGTAAATAATCAAAATGTACCAATATTTCCTTTCCATAAATAACCCTTCCAAGTTAATAACATTATACACATACATCAAGATTGCATTTCTCTGTTGATAAGCATATGCTGCATTAGATTCTGCTTTTGCATAAATAGCCTTTTATACATATCGGTCTTCTCCCGTGTGTGAATATGCATATGTCCTGAGAGATGATGCTTGAGTCTGAATTTCTTATCACATACATTACATGTGTAAGGTTTTTCCCCTGTATGTATACGCATATGTTTCTTCATATCCTGCTTTCGTGTGAATAACTTCTTGCACACATCGCACACATGAGGTTTTTCTCCTGTATGCATACGCATGTGTTCTGCTAAACACTGCTTCAGTCTGAAAGACATATCACATGTCTCACATACGTGAGGTTTCTCTCCTGTGTGTATACGTACATGCTTTCTGAGATCCTGCTTTCGAGTGAATAACTTATTGCATACATCACACACATGAGGTTTGTCTCCTGTATGTACATGCAGATGTTCCATTAAATGATGCTTTCGTGTAAATAACTTTTTACATACATCACATAAATAAGGCTTATCCCCTGTATGTGTGCAAAGATGTTGCACTAACTGATGTTTCAGTGTGAATGATTTGTTACATATATCACAAATATCAGGTTTTTCTCCTGTGTGGATATGCATATGCTGTGCTAAATGAGGTTTCTGCTTAAATGTTCTGTTACATACATTACAAACATACGGTTTCTTACCTGAATGCACACGTATATGCTTTACAAGATCCTGCTTCCGTACAAACGACTTGCTACACACATTACATGCGTAAGATTTTTCACCTGTATGAATATGCATATGTTCCATTAAATTAGACTTTTGAGTGCATGACTTCTTACACACATAGCATACATGAGATTTTTCTCCCATACCCATATGCAAACGCACTTCCGATATCTCCGGAGTTAACTTTTTATCATACATATCATTTATTTCATGTTTCTCTCCTGTATGAATACACATATGCATAACCAAATGATGCTCTTCAGTGAATAATTTTTTACACACATTGCATGCATAAAGATCTTCCATGTATGCCACGAAAAAATTTTCAAATAAATTGCCTCATATAAATATATAACATAATTCCCTCGCTTGCATAGGCATGTCTGTTTTTACATCCGATTCAGAAGCAAACAATTTGTAAACCTTTCATACATAATTTTGTAAAAATTACTCATAACTATGCAAATGTGCAGGTAAAAACTGTCCTTTATATGGACTGTCATATACATATATAAAATACTTCCATTGCTTTTACAAGCAAGTCCTCATCACAAGACTACAATTTCTTGATATATAATTTACTTCATCTATGTTTATTAAGTTTCAACTTTATTATCCATTACTCATATAGCAAATAACATTTTCATGTTTGTTTAACTTAGATACTAATCTAAGTCGCACAAAAGCCCTTATATACTTCTGTTTCCAGCCAAAAGCCTCAGAGCACACAGCCATCTAGAGGTCAAAACTCCTAGCCCTTGATTCCTCAAGAACCATCAGCAGTGTCCGATGCTTGCATAAACACGTATGTGTGTAAATAAGATTTCAACGCAAATATGTTGTAAACCTTTCACATATATGCGATTTTGAATACTTTACACAATTAAATGATAATTAATATTCTCCGCTAACTCTTCCGCAAATTTTATTTATTTTACAATCAATATTCCCATCCGCTCTGGACATGGATTTGGATATACGTTATTTTCATTTCCAACACGCCTTTCTGCCCCTTCGGAAGAAATTAACGCCAAGTTAGCGCTAAGTGAAGTGATGGCAGCTTCTAAAATTCTTGGAATTTATATAAAGCCACTTATCCTTAAGCACTGGGAGCTTACTTAGCATTAAATTTAAAAAATGCAGTGCTTTTAAATTAAATAAATGTTAGTTTTTACGCAACAATTAGCGATACTGAAGTTAGCCTAAAACAAAGAGGAAATGCAGCTTTGGCTTCAACTATATACGTACAAGCTCTGGCCATAGCAAAGAATGTATACATATTCTTTGGCCATAGCATGGTTTATACTTCACGCATGCGCAATAGAGCACGGTAACCATGGCCAAAGAACATTTATGTGTTCTTGGCGATGAATTCACAATTCAGATTCCCGGAAGATTCCGTTTCCAGTATTGCTGTGTTTGTTAACATTGCTGTTGTGAACTTATTTTAGAAGTGTTTAATTTTTTGTTTTATTCTGATAATACAGAAGTATGCATAAAAGGAAATCGAGTCAGTGCTGTGCGGCTGTGGGCTGTAGCATGAGAGCTGAAACTAATTTTTATCTAAAATAAAAATGTTCTATTTTCTTAGAAATCCATCACGTAGGATCCTGTGGGCAGCTGCCGTTCGTAGACAACACTCGACTGCGAATAATTCATCTACTCTCTGCAGTACTCATTTTATTATGGCTAGTTAATATTTATAAGTATTTTATATCGTACTAATGGATATGTAAACATATATCATAAAGATCTTTGACAAAAATTAAAGAATGTATCAGCGGTGTTTGGAGATGCTTTGGCGACGATTTTCGCCTGTTATGTTATCGGGGGCGGGCATTAATGATTCATTATGTTTTAAGAAGTCACGTATTGTTTTATGATCTTTAGATAGATTTTTTTCAGTGTTTAAGCATCTAGGAATTTTAAAATATATTAAAATCTTAAAAAGCTTTACATTCATGTGACCACTTTTTAGAGAAAATATTATTTGCCAATACTTTTTTTTTTTTTTTTTCCATGTTATATTGGTTTATTCGTGAAAGTCAAATGATTTTCGGTACACTAATTGAAATTTACTCAGCATTTGTTTAATATACTTTGACTGTAATTTTTATTCTTAGTTTGTACATAGTATTGTTTATAAAAATTGATTGAGACGCGCTAAATTCAGGGCTGGCGCTGCGATCACGAAAGCTGGAGGCAGTGTCTAAACATAGCTCCGAAATTTTTAAATAAGTGTTTCAGTAAATATTTTCAACTCTCTAAAAAAGTTTAATGCACCTTTCCTATGCAATGTCTCATTCATCAAATTGAAAAAGGAAACTTCGCTTCATCGAAACTTCAGGTGTTTTGTTAGCTGTTTACTATCAACACGAGAAATCCAAAAGAGGCCCTGACACGGAATATTCAGATAAGTAACATTCTGTTCTCTATACAATATATGTTTCTCTATTACTAGAGTGCAATTAAATTTTTTTTTATTTATTATTTTTCATAAGATTCTAGCATTATACAATAGTTAGTAATAGTAGCAAGTCATGTGGTTCTTTTCTTCGTAACTATTCCGTAGAGACGCCACATTCCTTATCAGTAGTCCGTTCTTATCAGCAATTCACACCCTTCGGAGGCCCCTCTCTTCGTGCTTAGGAATTTCTTGAGAGGGAAAAAATGGGGATCTCTTGACCATCGATGAGTATAGATTGTGATTTTTGTAACTAAGAACCCCGACTTTTTTTTTCCAGGTATCAAACTGAGAATTATGAGCAAATATAAATACAGTGTGACGGAATTTGTTAAACTTTGTACTATAATAAATTACAACGGTTAAATTAATAAATTAATTTTATATTTAACTAATATTTAAGAAAAATAAACTGTATAATTTATTTTTGGTAATATGCTCTCACACTGCGTATGGATTTATGATTTTGTCAATTACTGTTTTTCTGAAATATACATGAATTTTTTGGGAACGGTAATAGTTAATGTTACTTTAGTTAAAATATTATGTACATCTCTGTGATGATATATGTCTTTTCTAGTTAGGTCTCAAGATAAGGGCATACACATTACCATGTAGGAATTCATTTATTTTTAATTTTTTTTTTTAACTTAGCTAAAGTTTGCTTCTTAAAGACACTATTTTTTGCAAATTAACTCCTTTTAACTACACTCATGGACACAATCGTATTTTAAGATATTTTCTACTTCTTTTCCTTTTCTTTCTATAGGCCTTTCCCCCCCTCTATTATTTTTGGGCCATTTATTTAAAATGTTATTTTGTCCCATCTTTTCTTTCTGGCCTTCTGAACACGTACAAAATGTACGAAGTTCCTTTTTACTCTCCTCAAATACGAATTGACCCCCTTTCTATATACTACCTTTCCTTCGCACCTATGCTTGATTTTTCGCCCACCTGTGCAGAAAGACTTAGCGGGTGCAAACAAGACATCTGTCTACTTTGTCTGTCTGTCTGTCTGTCTATAAAAAATTGAAATAAATAAGAATAAAAGAGTACATAAGAAAGTATTAGTATATGGAATATCAAAATAAAAGCAAATGCTATTTTTTATTCTGTTTCCAATACTGTATGTATATTTTTTTAGGTAAATAATCTAATGATCCTAATCATCCAGATTATGGGTCTTCAATTTTTAAGCGTAAAATTCAGGACAGACAAACAGAAAAGAAAAAGTTGCTTGTTTTCAGAGGTTAGCAGAACGTAATAAAATAATTAAATAAAACTAAAAAAATCCCTACATTGAGTTCCGAAAACGGATTGTTGTTAACTGCAAGAAAAATAAATAAACAAGTAAATAAAACTAAAAGTTTTCAACTATAACTCAAAAATTAGTAGAATGGCTTCCAAAAAACAGTACAGGTGACATAAACCTTAAAAATAACTTAACCTGAAATAAAAATTAACACATTCATAGAATAAATCAGTTCAATTAAACAGCATGGAACTGAAATATTGTATCTTCAAAACACAGCATATTAAGAAAGCATTTATGTATTCATATAAGACGAATAAAACTAACACATTAACAGAATAAATGAAACTTATCTGTAATAAAACTAATACATTCATAGAATAAATGAAACTTATCTGTAATGAAACTAGCACATTTACAGAATAAATGAAATATATCTGTAATAAAAATAACACATTCATAGAATAAATTAATTCAATTAAACAGCATGGAATAGAAATATATATTCGACGCATTTTTTAAAAAGGCATTTGTTGTACTCATATAGGAAGAATTATAGGTGGGCATACCATGAAGAATTATTTTAATTCACAAAACTTCTTTAATGATACTACGATCAAGGCCAACTTATACTCAAGGCCTGCCAGTGAACGAAATTCCGATTACCAGTTTTCAGTGGCTTTCGCGAAATTCATCACTAGGTGGCTTTCGCATTCTACTACACTTTTGCTATACGTGCTCTGTTTGCAATGTGGCTTGTTATTAACAAAATGTGTATTTTATTAAAACATGCCGCGGTAACTCATAGTAACATAGGATGGTATAATATTGCGTGCTATACCGCAAAGTTTTTTCCCTTTAAAAAAATTTTTACATTTGTATTTAGATAATTATTTCCAACATATAACTGTTGGACGGATAGCATTTCCATCAGTTTCATGTAATGCAGATTTAATACAAATACATAATACAAAATTTCTTAACAAAAGCCATCATCACGTAAAATTTTAAAGCCTTAAAATTCTTTTGATATATTTCTTTTCCTCAGCTTTTGTATATAAACAAGATTCTGAATATGTGTGTGTACGTGTGTTCAGCTTCATGCCATTTTTTCGTCTTCCTGAAATAAAAATATCATAATCTTTTTTATCATACTAGAGATAATCTGTTTTCAGCATAAATTATTAAATGCATTATGAATATATTTATGTAATAATAAAATTCCATAGTCAAGAATACACTTAAAATTCTAACTGTATGTTCTTTTCATTTTTAATGGCGACGTTCTCTTATTTGAAAGTACGTGGAATTAAATCCACAGCCCCGTAGTCAAGTTGTTTTTCCCGCTTTTTCTACACGTACAGTTATAGAATGTTCTGGAAATGTTTAAAGCGAACTGGATTGGCTGACGAAGCTGACGTCATTTCTTGTAAGCTCCGCCTTTCCAGAGTCTATAAAAGGACTCGCAAAAGAATATCGGGGCTTTTTCTTTAATGTAACAATGCAGTAAACTTTATACAAAGAGTTATTAGTAATTCTTTTTTATTTACTCCGGAGATATGAATTTTGTAACTGCTATTTCTCCTGACCAATAATAAATGGATCCTGTTTTTTAAACTTAT